TCTCTTAGGGATAACCCACAATAACCATTTTTTATCCTTTACTTTTTACGAGAAATAATGGCTTATTTACGAAGCGATTTTAAGCAATACAGCATTAATCCTTATCCAATTAAGTACTTTTAAATACATTGTGCATTTAATATAGATCAATATGGCCCTTTACAGCATGTAATTTAAACGAATATTTTCGAAGATATTACAGACTTAAAATACAGGGACATAGCGGTTGCGGCGGTACCGGCCGATTTGTATTGTCTAATGACAAAAAAGCTGTGATTGTTGTATATAAAGACATTCTATAGTATATTTACTATCAGCATTGCATCCGTGCGAAGCATGGTGTACAAATAATAAAATTAAACCAATTCCTTAACCCCTATTCCGGTATAGTTGTGTGTTTGAAGTTTGTATTTTTTTCTTTAATAAATTGCTTTAAGCTCGTTCTTCAAATTTTCAGTTACCAATAATGTTACCCCTTACGGGAAATAATTACCCTCATATTTATAACACTTGCGTTGCACGAAACGGCACTATTTTACAACTTTGCACGAAACGGGAATGGCCGAAATGGCACTAAATCATGCGATAGTAGGATCTATTTAAGCAATAAATTTGCTCCCTAAACAGAGGACCCTGTATGTGACAAAATTTCTTTAGAATGTGAAGATTGCTGTTTCTCTATTTTTTATTTGTATGTTTTTTTTTCCTTTTCTTTAACGTATTTTTACTGCAGACTTATTATACAATATTGACTCACCTTTCTTTACTGCAATAACCTGTGTTTTCACAATAAATCGAATGTCCTATTATTAAATCAAGTTCAATATTAATATTTTTTGTGTTAGCAGTAATAAAATAACAGGTCAAAAAACAACAGTCCAACATTAGTTTCTCCGATAAAAAATTAAAATTAATCTTCTATATATATAATATGTATACAGGGTGTCTCAGTGTGACCACCCATTAGAATATTTCGCAAACTACTTCGCTTTAAAATTTTAAAATTGTTACAATGACGTTATTGGGTGTGTTCTCCTCTGTTAAAATAACGGTATTTATGTAGCACTTCCGGTTATGCCTAAAGTTGACATCAACTTCGCTATTTTAGCTGGAACATCCTGTATATTATGATGGTTTTGAATTCTAATTATAATAATAGGTTCTACTTTACTACTTCTAAAATTTACCGTTTTCGAAATACTAATTTTTTTTTTTAAATATCACAGAATAGACGAAGCAGGCTTATTTTACACTAAGAAAGCTGGAGCAACAATAATCTAAGGTGATAGCTATATAGCTTCCACTCTATTCTTTGAAAGTGGATTAATTACACCCAGGTTTTAAATAGATATTTAATGGCGGATTTGGTTAACTTCAAAAACAAAAGTCCATTTACACATACACCGTATATGTATTTTCATAGCCATATTCTCTTTCGAATGGTACTATTGTTTAATTTTTTAAGAAGATGGCTGTAAAATTCTTAACAGAATTTCAAAACAAATACTACAATGTAAATGTTGTCACTTAAACTTTTCATAGTGTTTATCTAGTAATTAGATATTTTGATTCTCAGTGTCAATTATTGAATATTATT